GCACGCGCTGCCCACACGAGCGGCAGGCGCTTGCCGCGGCCCAAAGATCCTAGTATGACGTCATGACTGGTCGCAGGTTTTCGTGTTTTCGTGCGTTTGGTTAGATCTTCAGGGAAAACAAGCGTGATATTCAGACTCACGGAATAAAAATACGCCAGAATGCACCTCTAAGGCTCTAACCAACGTTATTAGATTAGCTCAGTTACGGAACTGCTCATAGACTCTGCATGCACGAGCGGTACCCCCCCCCCCCCCCCCCCCCCCCTTCACTCACCACGACTCGCCCCCTGTCGTTCGACGCGCCGGACGGCTGCTTTGGTAACTGCAGTGTATCATGTGGGATACGTACGTTTCGAAGCGCAGCGTCTAGATGGCACTCCACCGTACTCTATGGTGAACACAGTTCGTAAAGGAAAATCTAGATGGCGCTTCGAACGACAAGAGGCGGACTGTAGTGAATGAGGGGGGGGGGGGGGTACCCCCTTTTGACGGAGTTTCAGAACTGAAGTAATCTGGTAACGTTGCCTCTAACTTTTTTTTTGCTCTCTCAAGAAGTGTTTTAGATTTTTTTTTTTTAATATTCCCTAATATTTCTTGTCGCTTCTTTCTTCCGACCTTCAAGACTTGTGACAAGTCCCATATTCGGCCCCTTAGCCGAAACTTTTGGATACCTGATTTAAATGTAAAACAAATGAACACAGAAATGACCAAATGATAGACAAAGGGTAAGTAAAAAATATTTTCAGAACTATTTTTTGCTGGGAAAGTTTGATATAAATCATCAGAGTATCATTGCCCTGATTTAAATCACGATTTAAATCAATGTGATTTTTATTTTCCCACCTGCTTCTAAGCCACAGTGCGCCAACACACTCCGCCGTCGAATCCCCGCTCCATCCCTAATAAACACCTAATTGAGTGGAGTTTCTTCTTAAAGGGACACTGCTAAGGTATTTATGCTCGCCAAGGATTTCATTTGTACATGGCATATGACAGCCCCGCTACCCAAACACAATTTGCGGCTCAAGATTTTTGGTTTTGTTTCCTTACGAAATTAACTGTTTGAGTCACGCTCAATATCTTCTTCATGGTCACGTGCTGTTCAGACACAACTACCAAATACACTAAAGTCGTGGGTCATCCAAGCTCAATATTCAAAATTGAAACAAAAAATCAACCCATTTAAAAATCTGCAAATAGGCTGATACGGTACCGGCAAACCTGTCCAGCTTCGAAAGATAATTTTTTTACCGATGAAAACATTTAGGATTTATTCCGTACGACACGCCCGACCACCGAGCTGACTCGCACGAAGTGCCAATCAGCCTGGTGGTCGTCGCCGAGTCGTCACCCATTTCTCCTGGCTGAAGACTTCGTTCGTTTTGCGGGACGAATAGACCGATCTCACCAGCTAGTTTGAGCACGCCACCGCTGCCGACATGCATCGTGGGAGCTGTAGTCTTTCTGCACGCGCGATGACCCTGCTGGAGGTCTGCGCGAGCAGAGCACGAGGCGGCATGAGCTGCCTCGTGAACTGGCGTCTGCCTCTTACGAACTACAGTTATGGCGGTGTCACGCATGCGTGGAACGCTGGGTGAGATCGGTCTATTGGTAAGAGTTGATAAGAGTTTGAAAAACGCGCAAACGTCAAGCACGAGGTGCTGGACGACTGCGTTTGCTTCGCACAACCGGAGAAACGATACGGGAAAAAAAATGAAAAAGAAAAAACGCCGGTGGGTTTAGTCACGCAACTTCTGCAACGCTCTTCTCCCGTACATTTCTCCATCCTCCCCAGTTTACATATCGCGGCCATTAAGTTCGTGCTCATGTTCCGGATTCGGTTTCGAGCAGTTGACTGTTCTGACTTTATTAAAAATATACGTCACTCTGTAGCAAAATATTGATTCGGTAGTCTTCTGACATCATACTAAACCACCTGGCAAAAATATAAAAAAAATGTACGTGTGTGTGTGTGTGCGGGGGGGGGGGGAGTGTTAGTGTTCCTTTAAAACACGATAACTAAAAGAAATAAAAGGTGTTTTTTATCTTTCGTTTTTTTTTAAATTATTTATTGCAAGCTGCCGCGCTTTGAGGGCTGGTCTGGCCACCGTGGATGAAAAACGCTCCGTCTTGGCCATTTCACACCGTGGTTGTGCACAAACCTCAGAAATGTTTGACTGTCAGACGATATCGATCTGCACACACCAACAGCAAGATGGCGTCACCCAGAGGCTTGCCATGTTCGCGCTTCTTCCTTCGTGATTCGTGATTGATTCTTCGGCCATCGTGACGGATAATGCTGCGACCTCATTGGCTGTAGAACGTTAATGAGATATAAGCACCCCCACTCTTTCCACTTTAGCGGAGCGAACGCCTCAGAAGAGGCGAATGAGGTGACGAGTCTATACTCACCTCCTCTCCATGGAGAGAGTGCAGGACTTTGTGGGAGAACAATGTCCCGCTTTTCGTAACCGTATTAAAGAAAAGCTCGAGCTGTAGACTGGAACACGGTGAGTTTCGTCGCTGCCGGCGTTCCATATCTGACCGGCCGTTGCAACGTCCATGTCGAACGCCTTGATTCCGCCTGCTCGCGGTTCTGCCCACAGCCGACAGCGAAACACCGTGGTGGTCGAGTTGCAATGCGCTGCGCACTACTCTTGCTGGTATACGCAGTGTAGGCAGGGTGCACCAAGTATGTGAAGTACCCTCTGCCACTCTGGCGCATGCGCGTTGGCTATCCGTCAGTTACTAAATATGGCGATGAGACACGCACTGAGCGAATGTGCGACGTCAGTGCAAAGCAACCTTGGATGTATATGGTACTGTTTTCTCACCTGTTCGATTCCTCTAATCGCTGCCAGGATGAGAACAACACGACGTTTCTTTCGGACGCCCGCAGCACGCGCTCGTTGCTTTCCGTGGTGCTTTGTCTCCGCGTGCACATTAGAGCTCACGAGACGCTGCATTGCCATCCTAGCGCCATCGCCTTCCCCGCCTTCTAGGCGGACACGAAGAGATAATGACATACCGACGAGCAAACCTCGCAAGGTGATTGGCTGGCTGATCGGTCTCACTTGCCGTGACAATCGTCATTTCGGTCCATTCAAGTCTCCGAAAGGGTATCGTTCTGAACCAGTCGCGCCGAGATCGCGGTGGTGCATCATGGTACTGGAGCCGTTTTTTGACAATATAAGAAGCGTCCTTGGCACGCTGCGTGCAATTTACTTATTAGTGACGCTCAGCTCCACAGATATTTTTACCATTGCATTGTTCTTCTCGCCTAGTTAATGAGAGGGAAATTATTTTTGCATGCCACACCACTAAGCACTGACGCCGCATGTGGCGGCGGTGCGAAAATATACGCCTGTTTTGACGGTGTGTGGATTAAAAAAATTCGGCATTCAAGAAATGTCTCTATAAAGCAACCTGTTACCGGGTATTGGGAGCGGCTTACCAAGAATAGAAATGAAAAAAAAAACAAAAAAACTGCTCATTTTACGAAAAAAAATATATGGCCGTTATACGGGGTGTTTGGTGCTACTTTAACCGGGATCCACTGTCATTAGGGACCTTTAGCGAACCGTTGCCATGTTCCGCATACCGCACTACTGGAGCCTTTGAAGCATACTTTTAAGCGCGCGCGCTGTGGTCAGGGTACCGCCTGGGCGCGCGCTTACTAGCATGCATCAAAAACTCCGGTAGTGCGGTACGCGGAGCACGGCAACGGTTTGTTAAAGGTCCCTATTACCAAGATGGGCAACCTTGATGGTGTGGAACGCACGTTGCAAAAGTACCGTAAAAGCTTGCCGTCAGCTCGCACTCACCAGCCACAAACTCAGTTATGGCCCCGAGTATGAATACCGGGAAAGAGTTTTAGAGGCGCCATAGGCCTCGCCAGGTTTTGCAGACTTTTGCCCCCCATCCGGATGTTTTCCGGAACAAAAAAGAAGAATAAAAGTTCGGCAGGGACACTCAAGACTGTTAACGTGTAGGAATTCTTTCGCATTCCTACACACAGCGCATTCCTACAAGCAGCGTACCACGTCTTCCCTTCGCACACGGCGCTCCGGCGGTGAGATCACGCTCCCCCACTGCGCAGGCGCGGCGAACTCCGCCGGCTTCACGACAGCTTCCGTGACGAAGCGTCTGCGTCGCTGTGCTTTTCTTTGCGGTTTATTTCCGAGGCTCGTCCGCTTCGACCTTCAGCGCCACCGCCGGCTACCGTGACAAAGCATCTGCATTGCCGTGTCTTTCTTTGTGTTTTATTTCTGAGGCGCGTGCATGATGACGTATTTTTATGACCACCTTTAGGGCACAACGCCGACGCTTTTTCGCGTAATGGGACAAGTAAGGCTTTCACCTTAAAAAAAAAAAAGGAGTAAAGAAACACTTTGTGTTCGCCAAGCAGCTCGGAGCATCGTACCGCGTAGGGGCAGAACTTCTGCAGAGGTGCGGTGCGACGTACCCTTGGCGGGACCCAAAGCTATTGTAAAACACCCTATGCAGAAACCTGGAGAACGCCTCATCGCCTTCTCATTTGCCGTGCCAGCGTGCCTTGCGTGTCAGTAGCGTGTCTGGCTCGCAACCGAACGGTCGTGGGTTCGAAACCCGACTTATATTCTTTAAAATTTTCTTTAAGGCTAAATAAATACTGTATAAACTGAAATCATTTGAAACGTACCTTTGATTCGCATTACCACATCATGTTTTAATCTGTCTCATTCCACGCGGAACGGCACGTTTCACGTGAGCGTTGTGGGTTGTTTGAAATTCCCGCGCGAGATCACGTGACCGTGACGTCATGACCGTACCGACCAATCAGGATTTTTCTTTCACGCTACGAACACCGGCTTCACAGCGACACAACCTCCTTAACGCTATAGCGGTAAAAAAAAAAGTGTCCATGGTTTTAATCTTTTAATTAACCATCCTGCTTTGGAAGCCTTTTCTGAAGAAGAAGGCTGCGGAGGACACGTCGTCCAGAAACCTTAGGCTGCTGGGGCTGCTGGCGTCGCTTCCATGACGCAGTCCTGCACCAACGGCGCATGAAGAGAAGTACGACAGTTAGTCACGTCACGCGACACGCGTAAATTCATGGTGATTTATCCCTTAGCAACTTAATTAATGCGTTTGACGCAGATGTTGGGAGTGTTTTTGCAGTGCCAGCTAACAGTCAAATCAATCACTCACAGTGGCGCTTCAATCGTACATCAATAAAAAATCAATTATCGACTGCACCGAGATTGGTCTGCGTAAATATATATATGTTGATAATAATAAGTAATTGTGTCATGTGCATGTTTAAATAGCGTGACGGCGCGTCTGATGTCTCACTGTAGATAAGAAATTTTGCTAGCCCAGATACCGCTGCTACTGATAACACAGCGAAGATAGCACGACCGCGCCTCCGGAATGCTTACCCAATTTCAAACGGGAAGGAACTTAACCCATAATGTCTGAGTTTTGCGTATGACAATTTTGTCAGGTATGACCAAAATACTACATGCGAATTCCAAAAAAAAAAAGGAAAAAAAAGACAGGTGTGTTTGTATTTCCTGTAGTTGCATAAACAATACAAACTTTTAAAACATCTTCTAGAGGCAACTCGGACGCTTAATTTGGCAAATAGTGAAGTGAAAGTTTGTGAACTGTTGCGTACTGCTGACTGAGGGACAGGCGGTTTAACTCTGCCAAAGCGTAAATTTGTGCCATTTAAGTGCGTATAGAGGAACTTCTACTGGAAAGTGATCAATACGTGGCATAAATACGACTCGCAGAAACAGAACATTCTGGGACTCACCGCGATATTTATGAGAGCTTTTGCGTGCCTCGGTCCCATGATGCTCTGCAATGAACCGAGACGAGTGTGGCAGTTGAACGCGCGACAGTCATTCCTGGACTCACGACGTGCTCGTGTACACATGCATTCGTGTCCTCGTGCACTCGTGTGCAGCCACGCTAAGAGCTAGTTGCATCATTTTTATACTCCGTTTCATAAAAATTGGGTTTTGTGTATGTTTATACAGCCTAGAACTTGGTCTGCCTCAACGAGCGACGAGTCTCCCAGCTGTAGATGAGCAATTTAGCCAGTGCAGTACAACCGCTAGCCTGGGGTCTTTAACGTGCATCACGCAGTAGTGATACACGACCGCACGCCGGTACGATGCTCATCCATGTCAAAACGTCTGTTTCATACTTAATGTACAACGCTGTCAAAGCTGCTGGCACGAGCATGAGGCTTGGTCTTCTTGACGCATCTGCACGCGTTCTCGCGCAAATAAAACCATGGATGAAGCTATGCGCTCGAGCCAGTCTATAGCTTTGACAGCGTTGCATACTAAGTAAGAAATGGAGTATAGGTGTGTTGTAAAAATGTTTGGCTTTTTTTTCTTCAGTTACATGAATAGGAAGTATTCACTGGACGCCATATTTGTGGGTGCTGTCTAAAGCGCATGCTCAGGACGAGCTCAAATCAATAGGCTGCTAAGACCGGCACTCTCGATGATGCGGAATGCACGTTGCAAAAGAACTGTGGGAGCTAGCCATCAGCACGCGCTCAGAATTCACGCACACAGATATGGCCGCCAGTGAATACTCCCTATGGGAATACGATGCTTCGTTCGCCACTTCAATCCATCTAACAGTTGGTAAGTTTCTGCGATGTTGCATTTTACAGCTCCTCAGACAAGGACTTGTAGACAACGAACTTTTCTAGCGCTTATGCCTATAAGGTCCTGTGTTCTGTTTCCGGGTTTATTTAGGGGGGGGGGGTCTTTATTTCTTTACGGATCGGTGTTTTGGGGTGTTTATATTCGGTGTCGGACAAAGAAATCAGTGTTTATGGGTGTTTAAAGAAAGCAAGACGCAGGCGTGAGATTCCTCAATTTCTAGGGGACATGACGGCGACACGAACGTTGTATCGTGCTTGGAAAACGTCCCGCGGTAGAAGAAAACGAGATAAGGACTGTGGTTTCCCAAGAGAGGAACAGCCTCCCAGACCGTTCGGCGCTGGCCGTGTTTTGAGTAAACGCAACATAGATCTGTGGAATAGCACTGTTGTACACGTTCCTCCAAAAGAGGAACGAAAGCTCGTTCCTCCTCCCTTCTCAATCTTGGAACAAGTTCCCGCTACAAGTTCCAGTGGTTAGAAAGGAACGCGCGTTCCCGTCACGTGTCTAAGATCAGCAAGTGTCTTTACATTAACACTACGATTGCGTGTTTTAAATATTGTGCCAGATAATCCGTGGATAAAATGAAGCGAGACAAGGGAAAAGATTCGCACCGAACTACACGTGTCATGTGTCTCCATGACCACATTTGTTCCAGTTCTTTGTTTTCGACTATCTCTGGGGCACTTCCCCATCCCTTGGTGCGGAGGAGAATGTTGAAATAGTCGATAATAATTTTTAAAAAATGCCTAAATGCCTACCCAATTCGGGTAAAATGACAGGTATATATATAAAAAAAAAGAAGAAATGTCCCTCCTGTCGTCCCTCCTGCCGTTCCCTCAAAGGGTGTAACTAGATCTGGGAAAGTAGTACCATTGCCTTCCCACCTGCTAGCCGTACACAAACAAATACCAACATACAGACGACAAAACCTCTCAAGGTGATTGGCTCATTGCTGTCGGTTGTCATGGTAATCGCCATTTTAGACCCTTTCAAAGCTTCGAAGCTTCGAAAGGGTCATTAACACCAGTCGCTCCAAGATCGCTACGGAGCATCATCGTACAATCGTACTGAAAGTGTTCCTCGGCTAATATTAGCATCTTTGGCACTGTGCATGCAATAAACTTATCCCTCATGCTTACTTTCCCAGATCTCTTACATTTATGTTGCTCTTATTGAGTGTTTCAAGACATTAAAATTATTTTTCAATGCCTCCAAGCACTGACGTTGCGTGTGATTGCGGTACGAAGATGTACGGCATCACACGCGGCGCCGGTGCTTGGGGGCATTTAAAAAAATTTTTACTGTCTTGAAACACGCAAAAAGAGCAACATAATTGTAAGAGATTTAGGGAAATAAGCATGAGCAATAAGTTTGTTGCATGCACAGTGCCAAAGACGCTTATATTTGCCGAGGAACGCTTTCAGTACGATGATGCTCTATAGCGACTGGTTTTAGCGATTCTTTCGAAGCTTCGAAGCCTAAAAGGGTTCCTAATGGCGATCACCATGGCAACCGACAGCGATAAGCCAATCATTTTGAGAGGTTCTGTCGTTTGTATGTTGGTATTTGTTTGTGTACGGCTAGCAGGTGGGAAGGCAATGGCGCTACTCTCCCAGATCCAGTGACTTTAGGTGTAACGAACTCCTGTTCTTTTTTTTTTTTTTCTTTTCTCATGCATAAACAAGGCTGCGCACTGCTGATACTAGCTGATACATCATGCAACAGAGGGTCTGCAAACAAGAGTCACTGGAATATCCGTGGTTCGAATGCCACGTGCCAAGTTTGCTCCTCGAACTCATTGCCATGCAGTATTCGAAGCACGGATCTCGCAATGGCTTGCGTTCGAATCTGCACGCAGTCTGTCCTTTGTATGATCATAGCCTGCTATATACTGACAAATCCTGGCAGATGGCGACGATGTAACCACGAGAAGCGGCCGCCGAAATGGAAAAGGTGGAGCGGCAGACAACGGATGAGAGGAGTGCCACGTGACTGGCGCCCCGCTGCGGCGAGATGACGAAACACACTTCTCCCGAGCGAACAACTGTGTTTCAAGTCCTCGCCGCTGCAAAAGCCTTGCACTGACGTCCAGATTATCTGACAAAGAGCTCTTTGATGCTCTATGCTAGGGGTGGCCAGGCTGACCTGGCCTAAGAGCCGCAAAGGAATCCACGAAACTTCAGAGAGCAGCGGGGTGGGGCGTGTGTGTGTGTGTGTGTGTGTGGGGGGGGGGGGGGGGGGGGAGGGGGGGGCAAACTTTAGTCGAGTGTATTAAAAAAAACTCGAACTACTTTTAATTTATCCGAGTCAAAAGCAGTTTAACTGTACGTAAGGTAGCAGTAGCACAAGACTACCAAACCGCAATTTGTCTTTCAAAAAACGCGTTCCATTTTCTCTTTTTGGGGAAGTGTCGTGTGACCGGGAGGGAGGTGGTGTGTGTGTGTGTGGGGGGGGGGGGGGGGGGTGAAGTGAAGGAGGGAGCTGCGAGTCGCACTTTAACAAGTGAAAAGCCGCAGCTTGGCCACCCCTGCTCTATGCTACCTGATCCTCGCACTACAAATCTGCGACCGAGCACTCATGACTCCGTCGTGTCGTCGAACTGCCAGACTTTGTGAGTATAAGGGAGGCTACGGTATGACGTTCAAGCAGCGTGCACCCCAGCTTAACGGCGCAGTCCCAATGATCGCATACAAAAGACACGGTCTGCCGACATGATGACAGTGGCGGACATAGCTCAAGCATGTTCCAAGCATGTCTGATTCATGTTATTCTTTGAACATGTCTGCAGACAGTTTTTTGTTTTGTTTGTATGATCAATGCCATAGTGTCGCGTCATGCAAGGCAGAAACACGCCTCAAACAGTGCCTGTAGATTGTCTCTTGTAGGATGGTAGTAGCAATGCGTGACCGTGGCTTTAGGGGCTTTGCGTCCGGGGCAACGTAACCTCGATGACGTCACATTGTCGCGACACTGTGGTGACGGCTTTACATGTTCGCAAAGTCCTCGGCGTGTGTCCTGCTAGCCTCCTTCCCGTGCCCGGAGCAGGAGCGCTAAAAGATATCGTATAGGCTGTTCATCGAGAACGCCTTTTTTGGGAAGTGCCAAAAGGACAACCAATTTTTTTTAATTATTATTAACATTTAAGGACAGCTTTATTTATTTATTTATTTATTTTTTTGCTTTTTTTGATTATTACAAAAAGCGGTTAGGGGGTTCTTTTTCAACGCTTTTCAATTTTTACAAAAAAAGAAAACACGAAAACTCTATAGAATGCAATCCACTTAACGATACCACGTACAACGCTGTGCGGCTTATAGCCATCGGTTTCTTGAGAACCGTGCGTTTTTGAGTTGGGTATCCAGTTCATCCAGATACAACGATAATCGGTTATAACGATTGAGTTTTCGGATTTTCTCATTATCGTTACAAGTGGACTGCGCTGTACTCGCGCACTCCCCTCAAGAATAGTTGCAAAAAAAAATAGTTTTTTTTTTTGTGGTACGTTATTAAGTTTCGCCCTTATATGTTGAATTAGAATTTACATATGTAGGTGCATCTTAGAGTAACTCTGCTTTTTTTGTAATTTTTGTGTTGTTTTTTTAATCGAGACGTACACGTTTTGAACATCAGAAGCATCGTTTCTTCCTTCGACAACCGTATCTCGTAAGAACTATACTTCGTGCAGCGCATAAATGATGCGCAAAACTTTCCTCTTTTATTTTACGTGACAATATATCGATTATTACACTGTTTATAAACAAGCCCGCGTTTGCCCACACTGTGCGTGGGCACTGCGAGTGCGCTGAAACCAGGTTCCCCGGAGGCGAAGCATTTGCGCATGCGCAGTGGCGACAGCAGCGCCACCGCAGTGGTGTGATGTCAGAGACTCGAGTGTGTCGATAGTTGCAGCGTTGGAACTCAACTGCGCAGCCTGCGGGAACGACGCCGAGGTTGTCCTTTGGCATACTCAGAATTCAAGTGCGAACTCATTTTGGACGCGGACTATATATGATGTTACGAGGAGATGGAGCCAATCAGGCGGCAGCAAAAGTTCAGTCACTGTGACGGCGCTCGTCGAATTGCGAGTCTACTATCACTGGCTCGACCAATCACGCACAGAAAAAAGAAAAGCGCAAGATCACTGCGCGTTCACTGCCCGTGATTGGTTTAGCGGTGATAGCAGACGTGTAAATATGGCAGAGCGCCACTGCCAATCGTAGCGGTTTAGCGGGGAAAACCCGGCACTATGCGGCTGAATGTATTATATACCCCTTTCGAAAGTCACGCGCACCGATCATTACAAGGATGTCAGTTGTTCCGCACAATGGCGGAACAACTGACATCGTGGAATGCGCAAGTCATTCCGTAAGATGGCGAACGTCGGAGCGCGGCCAACGCTATTGCAGCCGAAGAGCCAATCAAACTGCGTCGAAACGGCAACGTCACTGCGGTCGTAACCTTTTTTCTGTGGGTGTGTTGTGGCCTTCTTATCCAACCAAACGCATAAAACGTGCAGTGACTATCACTAATAACCTTGGAATAAGATAATGTTAGTTCTGAAACTTTGCCATCGGATTCGAACCGTGAGCTCTACATTTGGGTGGACACTGTGCGTTCGGTGGTTTGTCGTATGTTTTCTTGTGAAAACAAAAACAAACAAAAAAACCTGCGTATATTTTTGGGGGACACCCTGTGTGTATCTATAGATGACAAAGCTGTACTCAACTTTCTGCGACCTCACTCTGACTACCTGAAAACGTTTCGCGCACGGGCTTTGATTGCTCTAGGTGGCGTTGCCGGGAACTTCCCGGCAATTTACGCGTGTGAAACTCCTGCCAACTTACCCGCTGAGTGAGTAAGTCCGCAGGAATGTCACACGCGTAAATAAAATAGACCATTTCAATAATCGCCTCCTGGGCGCTGCCATCTTCTTCTTGTGGGCTGTGGAACGTGTTTTAAGCATGCGCAGTAGCTCTCTTCTGCGAAATATCAGATGTCGCGCATGCGTTCACAGCCCAGTGACTCAGCATTTCTCTCCCGGAGTAATTTGACACATCTTACCAGCAGATTGCGGTCTCTGATGCAGTCGATTCCCTGTGGAAGAAGACAATGCGGTTACGCGATATTGTTGATTTTCGAAAGACATACGAACAGATGCGCTCCGGGTGGGATATGGTTGCCGAGGTTACCTGTAGGCTTTAGTTATACTACAAGCGCGACATTGTAATGCCTGAATCCCACTATGCACCACACCAATATTTTCAAGTCCTCATCTCCGCGTGCGATCTTCTCAGTCCAGCACGCGCATGTCCGTCGCTTCGGAAAGCGAGCTAATCCCGCACCATACGCACGAACACTGAACTGGAACCGGCCAGGAGCCCTTTTTTGGAGACTCCTGGCTTTGAGACATGACATGCCTTTCTAGCGCGAGCGCTCGTTCTGCGGAAGAACGCTTCAAAGCAGCGATCTCGCTGACTATCTTTTCGGTTTTGTGTGTGTCTTCAAATACTTTACTAGGGGGAATACATTCCATTCCTCTCAAATACAATAGCCTCGTTACGGACAGGTTCTCTGGGCTTGGCGAGAGCCATCTATCGTCGGGGAGGTATCGGCTATCGATGATATTGATGTACTACATACCAAATTCATTGTTGTGGAAATGCGCGAGACACGTGCCGCGCGTTACTTCTAAGAATAACATGGCGTCTAAACTCTAGCTCAGTGGTGCGCTAAATACCTTGCTGTGCCGCCATGATCTTCCCAAGGGTCGCACGTTCCACGTGCCTCGTGCATCGACGCACCTTGCGCTACTTTTGAAACATGAATGGGCTTTAGGTGGAATCGGAGACGACACCGCCGCGGTCGCCGCGAACATCCACGTGCACTTGCGCGTGGACTAACGCGGACCTCCACACCGTCAGGGCTGGATTCGGCGCTGTAGACGTTCTGTCTAATGCAAATGAGCAGAGTGGAATGTATTCCTCCTAGTAAAGTATTTGGTGTCTTGTTCGAACCTTTTCCTCGCATCCTTCTTTCCCTTTCGTTTTGATGCTCAGACCGGAACTGGCAGGCCCTATTTAGTGCCACCAAATAAGCTACGCTTCAGAGTAACGACACTTGCCCATATTGTGGCTTAAAATTACGGTTGCCAGTTATATGAAGCTTTATCTGAAATCACAGGAAACACTTTTCCGCAACAGTTCGCGACAGAGCAAAGAAATATTACAGGAGCTTCTTAACACCAAATTTAATGCTGAGGAAGTCGCATTTTTTAATCATGACGATCGGCAGTTGCGTCTGCTCTGCGCAAGCACCGATATGGCGGCGCCCACAACAATTTCGGGGAACAGAGTGCCGATACTCTAAGCGCAGCTCGTGTAGTGGCTCTAGCCCTATTAGGAGTGGCCATAAGAAGAATGTGTGACAATCACGCATTCTTCGTAAACACCTTCCAACGGCGTAGAGAGATCGAAACGATGTTTTACCACATACCAGAAGTGACGGCATTCAAGATGGCTGCACCCTTGTAGGAAAGTGTATGGACGATTGCAAGCAGGGCATCTTGCCGCCGCCATGTTTCTGCACGTGCGGGCAAGCACATGCAATTCAAGCCTGTCAAAACCACGTTCACGCGCACGCTTTGCGTGCTCATGCCCATGGGGCATCGGTCGGACCGCAAAGCTTGCGATAGACCTTTCGCTAAATTACCCAAGCATCGAATAGAATGTTCGGAACATAGGTACATTTGCTGGACGTGCTCGCCTTCCGTATAAGGAGTATTCACTGGGCGCCATATATGTGGGTTCTGTTTAGAGCGCATGCTCAGAACGAGCCCACATTAATAGGCTGCTAAGACCGGCAATCTTCAGGGTGCGGAATGCACGTTGCAAAAAAACCCTGGAAGCTCGCCATCAGCACGCGCTCAGCAGTCGCGCACGCGGCCGCCAGTGAATACTTCCTATAGGGGAGGAGATGAAACTGTCACGGCTCTAGCGGTACGTTTCAGCCGTGGAGAAAACAGCCCGTGTTTTCTTGTTTGTTTTTAATCAAAGATATCGAAGATGATGATTCGAAAGTTGCTCCTCGTGCGACCAAAGCACTGGTCACTGCGAAGTGCTCGTGCCCAGACCATGCGAACTTCAATTTCATTGTTTTGCTGCGTTAGTAAACACCTGGTTGAGGGGACAACAAGCTCGATAAAGCCACCCCCCCCCCCCCCCCCCCCCCTTCCCCATAGTTCGATCTCCAGCCCAGGGCCCAATGGAACAGATTGGAATTAAATAACCACAGTAAAGCGTCCGTAGAACGCCATACGTGCGAAGTGCCATTTCTTTTAGATTTTTGCTTTCGAACAGTTATAGCTGAAGACGCCAGCACACGCTACGCGTGTACTTACGTTCCCGGCATTCTTTTTGATGCTTGGGTAATTCGGCAAAACTCCTATTGTCTATTGAACTTTTTAAAAAAGGACGTGTGGCCGGTGCCATCTTGAGTGTTCATGCGTATGGTGCGTGCTTTGCTCGCTTTCCGAAACGACGAATAAACACGTGCCGGGTTGTGAAGATCGCACGCTGGACTGTGATGTTGTAAGCATTGGAAAGGTTTATAAATCAAAGTGAGTGCTGCATGCACGAGAATGTGTGTATACCTTCGACAGACTTGATCACTTGTGCTTACCTAACGAACACCGAGACTGCAAGCCTGCCAAAGGTATCATTGCGTGCATGCCGCACGTGTTTGCGTCCTGTCGGGGCCGGTTGCTTCTTTTTGTCGTTCTAGTGGGACTCGGGCATTATCGCGATCAAGCGATTGCCGTTTTTTTTTTTTTTTTTTTTAAACGGCAGTCGCTTTAAAAGTTTTTAAAAGTAGCACAGTGGCGGAAATTTCTCATTTATGGTAGCAGCCTAAGCAGTAAAGCTTGCCGCTCGCCAGTAATCTGCCCCAGTAAAATGCAGTAAAGCGCCAATATCGCGTAGTGTACATAAAAAGTGTAGAGTATAAAATAGGCAATTCGACTACTACAGTCAGTAGGTTGAATCGCCAGGAACGTTCCGGGTCCCGAAAAAAGCTCACCGTTGCATATATTTACAAATATAGGTTAATTTCTTCGATTATCTTTACTAAGGTCAAAGCCATATTTTTTGCACGAATTGTGATATATGTAAGGTCTTTCCGAGCGCTTTTCGGGAGTAAAAATATTCGCATAAACAAGCCAATAAACTGAGTGCAATTAAACTTGTCACAAAGGTGCCCTTTTGGGTGGTGCATTCTTCCTACCCAAATTTTGTGAGTGTAGATTTCAGAATAACAATTTAAGCCGAAAAAACAAACATTTTTCCCCCCCAGGAAAGAAAACGATAGAAATCGTCTGGTTAACGCCGCAACTCGCAGATGGCGCGACATAAAGCCCAAAACGTGATAGCTTCTTTTGCGAGGAATGCCCGAAAGCAGACCCAGCAGATCCGAGTGTGTGTGGCGCCATCTATGAGATAGCAGCTAGTGTCAAGCCGAAGATTTTTGGCGTTTTCCTACCAGTGCAAAGAAAAAAGAAACAAAAAGTTTTCTACGCTTAGTTTTTTTTTTATCTCCACTTACTACATTAGTGTATAAAAAAACGCCCCACCTAAAGACACTTTTATGAAATGTTTCAATGCACTCCGTTTCTTGATGTTTTGTGCGAATTTTCTCACGCCCCAGTCGCACTCAGAAATACCCTGTACAACGCGAATTAAGATCACCTCTTCCTCACGATGTTTCTATCGATTACCACAGTAAAATGACAATTTCGAAAGAGCAATGCGACCTTTTAACTAAAGTTTTAAAGGAAACACATTTTTTTTTAGTTCTCACTAAACCATATGGATTTCACTATTTGTCACGGCTGCTGAAACAGTTGCACGTCAAAGATGCCAATAGCATAAATGGTAGAAGCAAAATAATATTTTTAAACGCGTGTTACAACATCTCGACGTGGTCCAAGCTGGCGTTTTAATGACGATTCTCGTAAGATAATTTATTATTCCAAGACTGACACGACCTTCGTTTGTGCAAGAGCAGAATATGATCGAACTAATTTGTTTATAAAAGTGCATTTGTGTTCTTATAGAATGGAGGTGATGACGTCAGAAACCTGGGTTGAAGACGTCCGAAGCATGATTTTATGACGTCCGAAGCATGAGTTGATGACGTTAGAAGCATGAGTTAATGACGTCAGAAGCAGGCGTCAGAAGCACAAGTTGATTACATCAAAACCATAAGTTGATAACGTCATAAGCATAAGTTGATGACGTCAGAAGCATGACTTGACAACGTTAGGAGTGTGATTTGATGACGACAGAAGCATGAGGTGATGACGTTAGAAATATGCGTTGTTGAGGTTAGAAGTAGGGAGGTGATGAAGCCAGAAACATGAGCTGATGTATACGTATGCGAGCTTCCAAGTGTCAGCTCACAGCGCCCGTACCTCCCTGAAGTCGTCGTTCATGATGCACTCGATCTCGAACCGTGGAAACCCTTTGGAGAATTCCTTCACGACGCAATCTATTTTCTGTAAAGTAATAAAAGCAAATACTTGAACAATGCATCGTATCAGGAAACGAGAGTATACAAATCCTGTTTTCGCGTCCTTTCAGTATATTAAATACAAAGCATAAAGCTACAACACATAACGGCGTGCAGTCGTGTATCACTACTGCGTGGTGCACGTTAAAGACCCCAGGCTAGCGCTTGTACTGCACTGGCTAAATTGCTCACCTACAGCTACAAGACTCGTCGCCCGTTGAGGCGGACCAAGTTCTAGGCTGTATAAATATACACGCAACCCAATTTTTTACCACAAAATCTTGTAAGAACTACTTCGCGTGGCGTATGAAGAATGTGCAAAGCTTCTTTTTGTCTTATTGGGAAAGCGAGTATAGCACCGTTTTCTAGGAGCTGTTCTTTGAGCCAAGAAGATGAAAGGCCAGTCAGCTGTCTTTCGAAGCAGCGTAAAAGTGACGAATCACAACTTCACCTTTTCTCCTTTTTTTTTAAGTTGTATCTGCTATGATTTGTTATAGGTAGGGATGTCGTGAACCGGTCGAGGTTCGAGTTCGAC